TAAAAGGTAAGAATAAAATAGGGGGAAGGTAAATAATAATGGGTTGTGGAAAATTATTGACAAAAGCGAAGGATACGAAATACATATAAGCGAGGACACACAGCACACACAATGCAGAAAGAAATGATTTGAAGCAAGCTAAAAGTATCCTATCAATTGGCGAGCTGCTTTTCACCTGATCCATTGCCAGTGTTGACGACAGAAGTCTCGACCCCACCAAGTCCAGCAACAGGCACAATTAAGTTCTCTTTGTTCATCAAATTGTATTTGATGACGTAAGCAGTGTATCGTTTACAGAGAGCAGTTTCATTCTATATGAGATTATTAATATAAAATATCTCAGTGAGATACCTCAAAATCATCAAAAAGAACTCGGTGATGGTAATAGGCATGAGAAAAAATTCGGTAAACACGTCGACATACTGACCCCAGCTTTGCAATGGAAGACTCTTTCATGCTTACTCTGTAGGCATGATTAATTAAGGTGAGTATACCTGCTTGGAAAATATTTATTACTATTTAAAAGACAGGCAGCTCCGTCGAGAGTATGTCTAGTATAGTCGATTGCGGGGCACTAGAATAAGAATTATTAAAATTAAAGGTCATTTTAAAACTGCAGTGATGTGAAACAAACAAACCTCCTTTGGCGTTTTATGAGCAGCACATAGGAATATCCATTGTTCGGTCGCCGTCATTTGGAGACATGTTTCAGGTGTACATTGCTCCTGAAGTCTTACAGCTAATCCATTGAGCTCCATGCAAAACTGTCGTAAATGTTCATATTTCCAGACCCCTTCATCTTGGCCCTCTGGTGCGGTTAATATTTCATCTACATTGGTGAAGTCTCTTCTAACTGCTTGTTGAATGTATTGCTGGATGGCAAGAGTACTTTCCATATCTTCAAATGGCTCATCAGGCCAGTTGCACCATTCCTGAATTTAAAAGTAAGTAAACCTCACCTCTAACTTTGTTCCAGGATAGTTGCGCCTGCAAATAGGCGGAGCAGAAGACATCAGGC